CACAACTTATATCTTATGATGCCCTGGTTAAAGCAGCAACCCCCCAAACAAAAAGCCACATACATGTCTTCCATGCTCTTTCCTCTGCCAATTTTAAAAAAAGTAATATGTGAAACATTCATGAAAACTGTTTCTTAATACAAACTACTTCTAATTTTTTTCATAGATAAGCAAAGAGGTAAAAAAAATCAGGTTTTTTTTTTTTTGTATTTTCTCTCCGTCCCACAAAGAATCACATGAACACAGGCAGCTCTACTGAAATCTTTTATTAGTGTAGTAATTCTGAACAATAGATAATATATCTTTTAAAAGTTCAAAAAGAACATTTAATTTCTCCTTTCTTCATCTGATGCATAACAATATTGCCTGATTGGTTGGTTTGCTGCTGTCATAGGTCCTTCTGAGATATATAGCTTGCCTTCTCACAGATGGTGAGCAAGGAGGGCCAAAATTATTTAGAAATGTATAATTAAATCTCAGATAAACACCTAATTAATGCATATTTTTATAAAGATGTTCGTTTTCTTTTCAGCACTAGATCCAAAAGCATAACTCTAGTTTAATTGGTGTTTTAGAATGTGTTTCCATTCCAGTAATAAAAATATAGTAGATTGTTGGCACTGTATTTGCTGCAGTTGGGCATTCTTTCAGGTTCTTCTGGGAATTCTGTAGTGTTTTGTAAATATCATGAGAAGGGTTACTATGTTACAAGAAAATGATTAACAAGAATTGTATTTCTTATTTTGCTGAAAATATACTGTTACAAATAATTAACATATAACTTCCCATATAATCAAAATATCTGGGGACATAGAAAATTAGATCTATCAGCATAACTTTAGTCATCAATTTGTGGAAAGCAGTATTAAAAGTAGAATTTTGGAATTCATGTATCAAATAAAGGTGATTCTCCAAAGGAAAATTTTCTGTAGGCAAAGTGTCTGATTTACATCTAAGCTGTGTCCATTGTTCAGTGTTAGGAACAGAACTATAAACAAAACAGTTAAGTATGGTGCAATTATATAAATGTAATGCAATCTGAATACCAAATTAATTTTATAGCTTAATCACAAAATTAATAGCAAAGGGTAGAAGATACAGAAAAAATAGCTGTTAAAATGATGGAGCTATGGCATCTTCCCTATTATTTTTTACAAAAATGAATAAATATAATCAAAAAAGTTTATAAATTTAGAAATAGTGTCAAGATAATTAATATAGAAATTCTCCTGAAGTATTAGATCTTGGTACTTACCTATTATTTAGAAGTTGGTACAGGACAGATGCAAGGTGTTATATACTGTACATAATTAACATAAAATTTATTGCCATGAGAAGAAGTGGTTCCTGTTACAGAAGACTTTAAGTAATATTTGGCCAATGAGGGAGACTAAAAATAAGAATGGCTTCATTGCACTAGATCAAGATTAACCTTACCTTATGAAGCAAATTAAATCTTATGTTCATTTTTCTAACATGGACCATATTGATCCAGAATAATTAAAATCCAGGGAAAAAACGTAATAATTACTGATGGGGTTACTGTTGGCAATGACTAATCAGGAAATACATGTAGTAATTGCCAATGTTGCAATATGTATATACAAATATATTGTATGTGACGCATTTGAAATATTCTGCATAATTCTAGCTCTTGTATCTTGAAAGATATTACACAGTTAAATCATGGAATGTGCTGTCATAACACATAGTGATTAACACCAATTTGAATTATTTTAATCCCCCTTTAAAAGGGATAAAGGATGAAGCTACCGAAGTTATTCATCACCATGGCGACATAATCAATACATCAGTATTTATCTGGTATCAGATGTTGGGAAACAACAGCAAAAAGGACAATTAATGATATTCTGCTTGCCATACATTAACTGGATGGCTGTAATCGGCCCCTTTGCTTTCTGTTGGGATATTTCAATTGTTCCAGCAGGGTTCTTGTGTTCTTAACTTTTTTTTTTTTTTTTTCCTTTTGATAGTAATCTAGAAATTGGGGTATATTTCCTCATTCCCTGTAGATCAAGACAGAAATTAGAATAATCATGGTTGTTATTAGTATTTCACAAAGCAAATTTCTTCAGTCAAGCTCATGTTCTTAGGACTCTTTCAGTGCTGTGCCTGTCTGTCAAAGGACTGGATTGATGTCAGTGACCTTCGGTAAACATTGCAAGAGTTACATACGGAAAGTTGACTGATGCAGATGCATTAGGTGTTGACAATATGTAAACGGTTGAATAAGCTGTATTTTTTTGTAGCAAGAGTAGGCAAGCAATCACAATCGAAACAATGTGAACAGAATGACACTTTGAAATGAATTTGTTGCAAAGTAATATGTTGTTTGTTCTATATATCTCAGTGAAAAGGGAACAAGTCCGCATATCTAAGTGCGCATACAAAATGTTCTTCTCAGTCAGTTGTAGATGCGTACAGAAATACTGTGTCTGGTTCCAGAGTTGTTGCCAACTAATTTTATTTTGTTTAATCAATTATTTGGAGATTTGAAATCTACTTCAGGAAAAATTGACTCCCAAGGTGGCCCATAAGATTCTAACACAAAAGTAATTATACTAAAAAAGACCAACAAAAGCTGGTTTCATTTATTATTATTTTTTTAAAGTGCCAAATGCAGATTGGAAAAAATGTGTCTTCAGTCTTTAAAGCAATGAGAGGAAGTTGCGAGGGTAGGGGTTGCTACTGAGAGAACTTTATTATCTAGTAAGACAAATGATAAGCCAGTGAATGAGGCTTTCTCTTATCTTTTTGCAGGCTCATGTAGGTATAATAGGGTCTGCAGATAGGTGTCAGGATTATTCAGGACTTTAAAAATCTAAATAGGTCTTTAAAGATCAAAATCAGCATGCTGAATTGAGCTCAGAATTAGGCAGTCAATGCAATAGGCACAGAGTAAGTGTAATATATTCAGTTGCTTTTTATGTAATTCAGCTGTCCTTTTATATCAGTTCAAAAAAGTGAAGTAATGCATTGAGGAGACAAATTCTAGGATTTTGAGTAAATGGCAGAGCTGTGCAAAACTTCAGGTTTGGTGATTCTGTTCAAAACTGATTCAGTCAAATAGTTGAATCAAATCAACTTTCCAAACCAAATCGGAAAGTTGAGTAGAATTGTTAAATGGGATTGGGTGACTCTAAATCAATTTGACATTTTGGAATGCAGCAAATCCATTTTCTATATACATTTAGGTTGTTGAATTGGAATCTAGTGCTAGTGTTGATAAAGCTGTTCTTAAAATCCAGATCATGATTTATTGAAATAATTTTGGGAGCATGGACTGCCTTTACCAGTCGCAAGGAGCTACTTTTAGATCAGCAGGCGGAATGCCAGCTGCTTCACTCAACCTCTTCTCCCTTATAGGGAAAGGTGGATGACTCAGTACGGATACCTTCCTCTCCCCAACCCCCAACTGACTGGGGATCTGACTCTTATTGAACACATTTTGTTCCTACTCTCTTAATAAGCTTTAAAACAAAGCTATTAGAGTATTGTCTCAGTTTCTGACACTTTATTTTATGTGTTTGTCTCCAATTGGCAATTAAAGCCTACATTTGCCAGGATGTATATCCTTAAAAAGCAAAGTGTTTCCAGTTGAGGAGTTCTGATGAAAAAAGATAGAGAAGGAGAATTAGCAGACCAAGCAGAGCTGTCAATTGCTGCAGACAATATAAATTTCTCCAAACCTGTTGCATCCTTGTAGCTTTTGTTATCAGGTTGTATGCATGGAGTTCTAGCTGCAGTGGCTGGTAGCCCCCATTTGCATACACAGTTCTTTATCTGTATAGGATGCCCCTTCCTAGGCAGGAGAGGAAGGATATCTTAGTAATATAAGATTAGTATCTCTAGGTAAATTTTTGCTAGCAATTGAGAAAGAACTGCCTGAAACCCAGGATCTGTTGCCTAGGCAAGGGATCAGTATTGAGCTTGTTTGAAGAACCAAGAGTTGACTTCCTCAGACATATCAGCATTTTCATAAATTCTAAGTTATTGTTCAGCTTGAGGTAAGTTTAAGGGTTAGTTACCTTGGCTATATTATCCTTTCTATTCTGCATTTTGTATGGTTAATATACACTTAGTCTAGGGAAGTGGAAATTTAATATGCACAGAAATATAGAAATCTTTAGAAGGTGGGCTTCTGAATAATAGCCTCTAAAATTCTATAACTATTAGAAGTGAGCATTTGACACTTTGTCCATGAATGAGCAGTCCTACAGCAGTGAAAAATTTTAATTTTGAGCACCATTGGGCACCTATTTTGTTGGGTTGGGTGCCATCTAGTGGTCGTGATGTTACTTTAAAGCAGACGGAGAACAAAGAGATAGCAAGTCTTTATGAAGCGTGCCTTTGTCCTGCTCCTTGTTGTTCTATTTGTTACTGTGTTTTAATTCTCCTGTCTAGTTTAATGCTGTACTTATAGAGCTTATGATTTGGGAAAAACATATGTAGATGCAGAATCTCCCTGTTGTATGTTAAGAGCTTCCCCACTCTTGATTGCAGGATCTGAAATAATTTCTAAAAGTTTTCAAGAAACTGTCCATATGAATTTGAAATATTCAGTTTTAAGGCTTGTAGTTATTGCAAGATGTGTTTAGGAGAAAACTACATTAGGACCTGCATTATGTCCATTGATACCTAAAGAGGTATAACACAAGAACTTAATTCAGTTTTTGTTGTCAGCTGCCACATTTACTATATCAAAATATTGGAGAAATAAAGCACATCTTCCTTTGGATCAATGGTATTAAAAGGGTGGGAAAATAGCATTGGCTAAAAATTTAGCACAGCTGCAGAGTGTTGAATAATTTAATTAAAGGTTTTATTCACATTTGGTTTTCATTTTTATTCTTTCTAATCCAATGGAATGTTGGAAATAAATTATGTAAAGAGACTCCTGATTCTGTCCATTAGTAGGATAACACTTTGCAAACTGAACAGAAAGGAAGAAACTGGCCAACAACAGATTGAGTTTAGTAATGGACTGGATCTGGCTGGGAACTGTGGAGAAAAACATTCCAGAAAAGGCTCCAGTGGATCCCAATGATGGAAGCAGTTGGCTAGGTGCTCCAAATGTTGCTGATGGTTCTGTTCCACATCCCCTTTCCTCCTGGTCATGTGACCTGCAACAAAGCATGTGCTACCAGCCCCATACTTTCCACTGTACACATACAGTACAGACAGAGATGTAAGAGATTACTTGGTTGCATAGAAGAGAATATAAAGGCCTCTTATGGCCAGTTCCGGCAAAAAGGTTGGGAAGAATTCCAGAAGCCATGATCTGCATTTTTTCTCTACTTTTTTTTTTTTTAAGTTGTATCAGTAGAGATCACCTAATAGATCCCTTCTGATTATACAAATATTTTTTGGGTTAAAATATTACATATGTAAAAAGTTTGTGTCTTACCTTGACATCACAGTTATTTCTGCATAGTTTAAGTATGTTATTGTTGCTTTTATTTTAAATGCTTTGTCAGTCCTCTATTTTTAATTTAACAAATATTTTTAGAAGAAAATGAGATAAGTGGCAAATGGAGATAAATATTCAGGTTTTTTAAATATTTAAGAATGAAACATCACAAGAGTTGCATGCTAATTATGGGGGCATATGTTTTCTAGTGGCACACAGTGTTGCTCTCTTTTTTAAGAATATAAGGCAATACATACCAAATGACCTGGGAGTAAGGCTGGTCTGAGACACTTGCTCCGTCCTCCAAAAGTGAGATAACTGGGGGCTCAGGCAAACACCTCTAGATCTTTTTAAAAAGCTAGAAGCTGCTACTGCTTTTCCTTTTTCCATTCTAGTATTTGCCTACTGGACTGCAAAGGTGGTTCTTTGGACTATTGTTTATATTTATGGTTTCTTCTGTTAATCTAGGCTTTTTCATGTAAGATGCTTAAGGATTTTTTAGTATGTTACACATGGAGGGTAGATTTTGGAGCAATAAAGATCTCCCCCCCCCCCCCCTTTATTTTTTTTTTTTTTTT